CCCCCACCCCGCCCCGCAGCCTTCCCAAAAGACCCGGCCGGCCGCCTGGACGTCCTCACGCCGCGCATCATCTACTGCGCGGTGCAGGTCGGGCAGCTGCTGTTCGTGCTGAACAAGCTGAACTCCATGGGCCTCCTGCCCACGCACGCCAGCGACTGGATGTCAACCCTGCCCGTGCCGCCGCCGGCCAGCGTCTCAGTCCAAGCGCTGTAATGCAGGTATCTGAGGGTGGAGAGGCGGGCGAAGGGGGCAGGAGCCCGCTGTCTCGCACCTCCGCCCTGGCTGCGGCCTGCAGCGTCCGGGCTGCGGGGGCTGCTTAGGGACGAGGGCGCGTGGCTGCGCGGATGCAGCTTTTGCTCGGCGTGCTGCGACTGTAACCGTTTGAATCCGGTCAGGGTGCGGCGGTCACGCGGCATGACTTTCGCGGTGCTGAGGCCCGACAGTGCTGTGGCAGAAAGATCACGAGGCGTGCCTGTTGGGCTGCTGCGGTTCAACGGCAGTGGCGAAGCCAGGGCAGTACCTGGCCACCGCCTGAGTTGGGGCAGCTGCTGGGACGGTGCGACAGTCACAATCGCACAGCTGTTGCAACTCCCCCCACTTTATGGGTGACGCGGGCCATGCAGCTCATCGTCACGTACTGCACCCGCCTTTGGAACCGCTGCGACCACCACGGTCGAAGCGGTGCGCATGAAGTCAGGTGCCTTTGTCGGCACTCCGGGCACGCTCATGTTGACCCCGATGAGCCCTTGGTGCAGCCATACCACAAGCCCGACACATCAGTTACACGGCACGGTTGATAACTGGTGTTTCAAGTCAGGCATCTTTGTTGGGGCAGGCGGTGGTTTGAGGGGTCGCTTGGTGGTGGGAGTGCGCTCGTGGTCTCCGGGCTCGTCCGCGGTGTTGTGCTGTTGGAAGAATAAAATGCGACATCCTAGTCTCTCCACAACGCGGCTCATCACCCGGTTCTTCGAGGTGTGTTGCGTCTCACGGTCGCCTGCAAGCCCGGCACGAGCGCCGCCAGCTTGCGCTGCGGTAGTTGCACCAATCGAGGGTTGGGTCGCCAGTCGATCCTGAGCCCCCTGCCCAGGGTTTGTTGCGTGGCACATGTTGCTAAGTACTAGAGTGTGTACACGCAGCTGCAAACACCCGCTGCAGTGTTGCAGTTCTACAATTGGTTGTTGGTGAGCTCCCTCAGACGCCCCCCGCCCCCCGCCCCCCCCCCCAAAAATCATCCGTATGCCGGCGCCCACGCGTGCGCTGATGCACACCCGCCCAGGTGCTCTTGTGCTGCTGCGTGCTGGCGGCATCTGCGTGGATCCTCAGCGTGTCACCCGATGACGCAGCAGCCCCGGCGTTTGCTGTTGGCGCGGCGGCACTGGGCCTGATCGCTGCAGCCGCGCACATCCTCATCCCGCCATGCGTCCACGTCACCCACCACGGCCGGTCAGTCAGGGTCCTGCAGACGCGACCGGGGGCAGCCTTGCAAGGCGGCACTCTCGCTGCGCTTTGCAGCGCCTTGCGGCGGCGCTGCCTGCCAAGCCAGACCCGCCGGTGCCATCCATTGTCATGGGCGCAGACGCAGGACGCTGCATGTGAGCAGCCGGCGTGCGCCCTTTCCTCTCTCTATCAACGCTCCGCAACTTGCCAGGCACCCGAGCGCAGCGTACTCATGGCCCAATTCACACCCCGCAGGCGCTTATTCAAGAGGCACCCACTCGCGGACGCCCTCACCTCCGCCGCCCTCTGCGCCTCGCTGGTCGCCGCGGCGGCGCTGCTCCTCCATGACTCCCTCAACCACCGCGGCTGCGCCATGGGCGCCGTCTCGCGCGGTGGCGGCGGCGGCGGCGGCGTCGCCCTGAGTGCGGAGGGCTCGGCCAGCAAGGAGGCCCAGACCAACTTCTTCTTGGACGACCAGATCCACCAGTGGCCGTCCGCCAACAACACACGCTCCCAGGCGCACGTCGGCTGGACGATGCTGGTCGAGGTGCTGTTTGCCGGGCAGCTGTTTGAGCGTGGGGGCGACCCCGACTTCCAGAGGCAGCTCGCCGCGCACGTGAAGCGCATCTGGGCGCCGTACACGACGCCTGGGCGCATGATGGACCGGAAGCAGCAGCAGCAGCAGCAACAGCAGCAGCAGCAGCAGCAGCAGCAGCAGCAGCAGCAAAGCAACGAAGACCTGATAATGAGCCAAATCTTTGACCTGGGAGAGGTCCCCTTCACCCCTCGGGCAGCCGCCGGCGCCGCCGCGCCCTCAGCAGCGCAGCTCGGCGCCGCGGCGGAGGCGAGCCTGGCCGGCCTCGACGCGGACGAGAGGCGGCGGCTGGACGGCTTTGTGACGATGCACCCTGAAAACGGGTCTCAACCTGTTGACCCGAGGTTTGTGGGCTATGACATGGTGGAGACGACACTCAGGTGCGTGAGGTCTGGCCGTTCAGTGCACGCAGTGCTTGTGCACCGGGGACGCGGCCTCTTGGCCCGCCTGACTAGTCCCACAGCTGGCTCCGCCTGCGAGACGCGCCTGGCCTGTGCTGCGGACGAAACCCTGTTGCTTACTGCGCCTTGGCGGCGCCCTTGCCGCCCCTGTCCCGGGGACCCCGCAGGGTCTACCACGCCGCGGAGCCGCCGCACGTGGTCGCGGCCGCGGGCCCCTACATCAAGGCCATGTGGGCTCCCTTCACGCGCCCCCTCGAGGCCCAGTACACCAACCTCTTTGATTATGAAAAGGTCTGCGCCTGCCACACGCAAGAATGCCGCCTGGCTTCGGGTGCTGATTCGCCTGCGATGTGCCTGCTGGGCTTCCAAGGGTGCAGGCCGGCCGGCCGAGTGGCTGCAGCCCTTGCGTTGTAGCTGGTATGCGATCACCACTACTGCGGCGTAGCACACATCATGGCATACTAATGGCCACTGCTGCGATATGCCGACACGCTCCTACCTCCAGCTCCCATAATGACGTCACCTCTGTGTCACAGTAGTGACACTAGCCTCAGTGTGCGTTTGCCGCAGTGGACTCACAAAGCCACCACAAATCACTTGCACGCGTCAGGTGATGGTTGATGCATTCGATGCCGGCGCAGTCAGCTTCGATGCCTTTACGCTGCCGCCCGACACCGAGGCGCGCCGCATGGCGCAGGCGGCGGCGACACTGAGCGCGTCGCGGCTGGCGTCGAGGGTCTGCTCCCTGATGGAGTTTGTCATCGCCACTTGTGGGTGACGGTGACATCTGCAGGCTGTGTGTGGTGTCGAGGCTGGGCGTGGCTGGTGAAGTGCGGCAGCGGCAGTCGCCTTCTTCTTTGGTGTGCCCCGGGTCGCTTGGTCGCTTGGTTGCTGTGTTGTGCAGGTTGTTGCGACTCGAAGTGAATGTGGGCGAGCGCAGCACGAGGCAAGTGCATGTCGCAGCAGCTGTTGTTTTCCCAATGGATGCGATTGCAGGTCGTGAGGCCCGAGACAGCACACCCGTGGCCGCGTGACACCTTCAACCTGCCTGCGAACCGCAGGTCTGCTGGGCGCGCTCGCTTTCTGTGGCAGCGCCGTTCTAGCCGGCCTGGAGCTGCGGCGCGCGCACCTTGGGGCGCTGCCGCTCAAGGGCGAACTCGACGGCGGTCTCTCTCTGGAGGACAGCCTCTCCAGAGGTGCGGCCCGGCCCGGCGTGCTCGCGGCCCGCGTGGCCAAGGCGAGGCATCCGCTCTGCTGATGTGAAACGCTGACTAGGCGTGCGTGCTGTGTTGACTACTGCGCGCCCGCTGCCCTGAACGTCACCGACTTCCTTGGCCACGTGCTTCCTCCCTCTCTTGCTCATGCGTCGGAGTACAGCCCCGAGCCTGCGCGGCCCGCCGGCCGGCGACGCGCTGGTGCCCGCCGCGAGCGTTGGCCTTGCGGGCAGCGGCCTCAAGGCGGAGCCCTTTGGCTGACTGGAGGGCTTGAGGTCATGACTTCAAGATCAATGAGCGACAATACAGCGCCACAGCAGCAGAGACACGACCCCACACGCTCTCCAAAGCGATGAGTCTGGGACCGGCCCCACTGCCACTGCCGGCGGCTCCATGCGATGGGGACAGGAGCGGCCACCACTTGCTGCGACGTGCAACGCCGGCGATCTCAGTGCTTGTCACATACCGTGCGTGTTGCGTCATCGCGCATGCAAAGACTGCGTGGAGCGGCCGCGGCGCTGCTGGCAGTGGGCGGTGGTCTTTCCTGCCGCCCCGGCTGGGAGTGCCTTCATTCCGATCGCCGGTGCCTGCCGGAGCGTGCAGCTGCGAAGGAGGGCCCGCACGCTCTCATGCTGTGCGGAAGTGGAGGAGAGGGTAGCATGCACCCAGGCAGGACCATCGGCAGGCTCGCCAGCCTCGCTTGACTGGACATGCTCTTGGCAGGCAGAGCTGCCTCGAAAGCATTGCTTTTGTTCAGGACCCTACTAGCTCAGCTGCATGGAGTGTGGCTACCGCTGTGCACATATGGCGCCGCAGCATCCTTGAAGGTGAGTGCGTGTACGTGTCTGTATGTTTGCGTGCGTGTATGTGTTTGCGTGTGGGCACGCGTGTTTGCGCGTGCGCATGTGTGTGTGTGAGCGTGAGCGTGAGCGTGAGCGTGAGCGTGCACAGGCTCACCCGCAAGCACGCGCACGAGCAACGCAATGCAATCATATACGGACATTTGGGCGAGGTCTTTCGCCTCACCGCTTGCGGCCATCCAACGTCTCTTGCAGGGCTGGCTACCCGGTCTGGCTACATGGGTGTACCCACACTTGCAACCCGAACGCAGGGTCTGGCCAGAGGGCGGCGGCCAGGCTGGCAACCTGAGGGTGAAGGCGTCAATGCGGCGCCCATGGTCGCTGGCGGATGCTTGTGCAGATTAGAAATCCTCGGTAGCGCCGCGTCCTTCCGTGTCAGGGCTGCATGGTGCCGAGGCGCATTCGGCAAGCTTGCAAACGCCCGTCCTGCCTGCACTCATGATCGCTGACGGCCGACATTTGGCTGTCGAGGAGCCCCATTCCTTGGCTGCTTCTTGAAAACGGTCGGATCAAAAGCTCAAGACATTGTAACAGGGCGCGAGCTCCCCGTCGGCCAGTGGCCCCTGGCCCAGGTCACGAATCTTCCCCTTGCGAAACACACACACGATCAGAGCAGCGGCGGCGGCGGCAGGGGGCGAGGGCGGCGCCCGTCAGCCACTTTCAGCCAAAGCTGGCTCAAAACTTTGCATGGACACATGCCCAAATTGTCGGTATCAAAATTATGACTCCGAGTAAGAAGGTGCCTTGTCACTCGGGATAGCTGATGTCACTCTGACAACAGTGGGACACGGAGGGCGTCGGGTCGATGCCCAAGCAGCGGGCGCACAGCGTTCCTTTGCAGATTTCATACCAAATTGCATCGTTTCACTCAGATCTGCACTACTTTTTGAGATCAAACGCGCTTCCACAATGTCCGGAAAGGCCGTTGCCGCCGCGGACAAGGTGCGACGACCAAGCCGTGTGCTTGTTTTGGGAGGTACACCCCGTGATTCAAAAGCATCACGCCTGTCCCTATATGTCCCACTTTCAACTGGCATGACAGGCGATCGACTCGGCTGCGGGCCAAGCGCCGCCGCCGGCGGGCTTCCCGCATCTCAACCCAGCCGGCAAGCTTGATGACACGCGCCGCATGAAGGCGCTGACCTGGCAGGGCAAAGAGAAGGTGCGCACCCGTGGTGGACTAATATGGGCGGCCGGCGAAGCTGCCAGTCAAGGGGGGAGGGCACAGGTGCTGGAGCTGCAGCTCGTGTACACAGGCGGCAAGCACGTCCCGCTCACACACTCGCCGAACCGGCGCTGGCCTTGCGCATTGCAGTTGATCCAGCTGCCGATCCCATTCTGTTCGTCTCACATTCGCACATTTCCCCATCAAAGCAACACAATCCATATGCGTGGGGAGAAGGCTGGCATGGATCAGGCGACCGGCTTCGGATGCCACTGGCGCGTCTGTCGCAACGCCCCTGCTGTCGCTCCTGCTGACTCATCTTGTGCTGCTCTCAAAACTGCAACCTCTAGGTCAAGGTGCACGACGTGCCGGTGCCCCACGTGACTGACGCCACCGACGCCGTCATCAAGATCACGTCCACCGCCATCTGCGGGTGGGCCAGCGCCCAGCTGCCGGCAATATGGCTTGGCCTGGCAAACCTGACTCTGGTTTTTCCTTGGGCTGGCTAGGCCAGGCGGCGGCCACTGCTTGAAATTCACTGCTACTCAACCCCCACGACAAAACTGTGGCGAATTGAATTGCAATATGTGCGCACCCACACCCTTGCCCGCGCCTAGGCTTTGCACCAACACAGTGGCTAGCTCGCCGTCGCTGTGCGCGCACTTGCACAGCGGTCGGCGCCACTCTCACCCACCATGCATTACATTTCACCTCGGGCCCACAAGTGCACCCGTCGCACCACCCTCAAATCAAACGCCCCAAATTACAAGCCTGCAACCCCAATTGTGAATCCAAGTTACATACCATGTCTCGGGCATATACACAACACATAAACACACACGCATAAACACACGCCCCGCCCCCCTGGCCCCCTTCCCCCCCCCAGCTCTGATTTGCACCTGTATGTCCACGCGATGCCTGGCATGAAGGCTGGGGACGTGCTGGGCCACGAGTTCATGGGCATCGTGGAGGAGGTGGGTTTGTGAATCACATACTTCAACACATACATGCACGCACTTGAATATACTCACCACATACATGCACACATGTACGATTAACTGTGCGTAGCCCCAAGGATGAGGGGTTGAAGAGTGACAAGTTTTGACTGATGTCACGGTCGCATGCGGGGGTACCACTTAGGATTGCGTGGAGGGGGGGGGGGCGGCAGGGATGCTGCGTGCCGCTGTTGGACACAGGAGAGAGCAGTGGCCTGCAGCACGGGCCTCGCTTTTGCACCAATAGCTGCCGCCAGTGGCCAGGCAGCCGTCGTGTCCACCAGCAGGCCGGGGCCGGGGCCGCGGATGCCTGCCCAGTCATGACGTGCAGCATGCACGCCGGCGGCCGGACGGCAAACCACCGGCGCAGCCCGTGACTACTGCCAGGACTCCGGCCAGCACGGCAGCAGCGCAGCAGCTTTGCAACGCCCGCTGCTTGCTGTGGCCACCACTGACGCGCCACAAGGCGCCCGCCCTCTGCCAACCAAACCAGGTTGGCCCGGAGGTGAAGCACCTGTCGCCGGGGAACAGGGTGGTGGTGTGTTTCGACATCGCGTGCGGCGCGTGCTTCTTCTGCCAGAGGCAGCTCTTTAGCTCCTGCGCATCCAGGTGAGTTGCTGCACCGGGGGCCGGGCCATGACGAGGGGGCAGGCGCGAGCATAGGCGCGCCGCCTGCACGCCGGTGGGTAGGCGTGCGGGCAGTTGCGTGACCAATTTGTCGCGCGGCGATGAGTTGCATGGGCGTTGACGCGAGCGTGTGCAGATGTCTGCTGCTGGGAGTCATCGGCGCGCAGACAGCCGAAGATTGGGCGAGGGGCGGCGGGTCGCACGCACGTCAAGTGATCGCCGCCGCACATGCACGCCCGCGCACGCGGCGTCTGCACAGCATCAGCGAAAAGCCGCATGCATGCAGGTTGCAAATCCATCTGATGCTGTGTGCCCTAAACTCCGCTGCTCCCGCTGCTCATGCTGTTGCTGCTCTCGCCTCTTAACAGCAACCCGAGCCACGTGCAAGAGGCGCTGTACGGCCAGGTGCGCCCCGGGCGCCCCCACGCAACGGCCCCGCAAAACAAAAACAACCCTGGCTGTGCAGCAGATGTGGCCTCTCACCGCTGCATTGGCTCAGGAAAGATGCTGCTGTGAGGTCACGCGTCACTCACCCCCGAGCAGGCTGTTCGTTGGCCACCAGCTCTCTGACATTGCCGCTTTTGTGGCCAGCGCATCGTCGTCAGATTTGAACCGCCTCCCTGTCCCACGGCCTTTCTCATCGCATCCTCCCCCCAACAAAAACAGCCCACTGGCGGCTTCTTTGGCTACTCGCACCTGACTGGCGGATGGCAGGGGGGCCAGGCTGAGTACGTGCGTGTGCCTGTAGGTGGGTGCATTCTGGCTGGACTTTCAGCTGCATTGAAGGGGTCGGGTGGCTTCAACCGCGCGCTGCCTGCCTGATCACAATTATTGACCTGCTCACGGGCACTGGGCGGAGCCGCGAATCGGAGTGACAAGCGCAGCGCTTGCACGTGAAGCGGCCGCATGGATTGCGATCGCGGGCGGCCGGGCTGAGAACTTCTAAATCGCCCACACTCAAGTTGCTCTCCATACTGGCCGCGCATCTCTGCGTGGCCTGCTCATTGGTTTACAAATCGCACCTCCCCCCCTCCACGCCGCCCCGTCTGTCCATCTTCCACTGCAGCCGACGTAAACTGCCTGAAGGTTCCCAACTCGATGGAAGACGAGCAGGTGGGCCCAGGCAAAATCGAACTTTTAGCAGTTTTTTGGAAGAGCGTCTGTGCCGAAGCAGGGGACCCGGCGGACCCCTGCTACTGCGTGGACAGCGTCTTGCAGCCTCCCCTGCTTGCCAGGCAGGCCGGCTGCTGTGGCGACTGTCACAGCGGCTTGCACGGCTGAGCGCAGCCTTATGGGGCTTTTAGCGCGATGCTTTCTCAATCTTGTCCTGTTTACGCACGAATTCGCACGTGGCAGCAATCAAACTCACCGCGGCGCTCCGTGTGTGTGCCAGCAACAAGTCCGTCGACGCCTGCGCCGGCCCTGTTCACGTCACAGCCTGCTCTTGACCTCCACACCGCTCCAATTTCCCACCCCCTGTGCCAGGTGGTGCTGCTGTCAGACATCCTGCCCACCGCCTGGCACGCCTGCGAGCTGGGGGAGGTGAGCGCAGCGGCGCTCGCCGGCACACGTTGATGTAGACTTTCCCCGATGTTTGCGGACTGTGGGGCAATGAGCACGGACCGTCCGCGCACGGGCTGGAAAGTTCGGTGTGTCGGTGTGCCAATCGCAAATGACAGGGTTCAGGGTTTAAGGCTTAGGTTTGCGGCAGTCACGAATACGGTCAGCGTCCTTGCAGCTGGGAAACGCTCAGGATGCGGCACGTGTCGGGACAGCAAAAACTACAAGCAGCTTCTCTGGGGTCGCCGTCGGCGGGCACGCGGAGAGCCGAGGCGGCTGCTGCGGGGGCCCTCGCTTGACGACTCGCCCCGCAGGTGCACGAGGGCGACGTTGTGGCCATCTGGGGCGCCGGCCCGGGTGAGTGCGGGCGGGGCGTGTGAAGTACATAGCGTCGCTCTTCCATTTCGTCGGCCCGCTGCACGTTCAGTTTTTTGAGTCTGTAGATGTTTGAAAGCAGCCCGTGCTCAACTGCTGCCCACCAAGCTCCCAACACAATGATGTCGTTGACTAGGCCAGCCGTGCCTCAACCGTCTGCGTCCTGACATGCCGGGTGGTTGTAGGGATCAAAGCCGCAAGCTGGGACAGATCAGGCGTCAGCCTCGCTCCCTGCACCAGTATACGCCCTGGCCATCGCCACAACTCCACCTCCCTGCTCCCCCCACCCCGCCCCCTGCCAGTCGGCATCCTGACGGCGCATTGCGCGCAGCACAGGGGCGCCCGCCGCATCATCCTGGTGAGCAGCGCCGTCTTGGTGACCGGCCGGCCCCCTCCGGTCCCCGCTGCCGGCCTTGACCGCAGCACACATGCATGTGTGCCGCACTGCGGCAAGCCGGCGGGGGTGGGCCTCTGCTTGTGCGAAGGCGGTCGGGCCGAGCCACCACTCCTCTGCCGTTGGCCGGCAAGGCGGGCAGCTTCCTCGGACCCACAACGCCCTATTGGCAACCCATCGTACACCCACGTGCACCCGCCTCTGCCTATAACGTGTCCATCAGCACCCTCGTATGGCGCGAGCGTGCACACCTTCCCCGACCCCTCCACAACACGTCCCTCCCCAAACCTCTCCAACAAGTCCTGTCTCCCTCAACCTTGGACCGTCCTCCAACTTGCCCTCCCCAGATCGACTCTGTCCAGTACCGCCTTGATTTTGCCGCCTCCAAGATCCAGGGCCTCGAGACGATCAACCGCAAGGACAAGAACCCCCTGACAGCCCTCAAGTGCGAGCAAGCGAGCGTCCGATGCACCCGCAGCCGCCTGGCTCAATGAGGTTCATTTGATGCACGTTCGCTTGTGATTGGGGACTCTGGGCGCACTGGACTGACGAGGTCGGAGTTTTCTGGCCAGCCGGTGCATTCAAGGGGCCCCTGCGGCGTGGTGTCCCGGCTGCGTATGCGTGTGCAGGGAGATGATGGCTTCTGAGCCGGGCGGCGCGCCTGACGTGACTATCGATGCAGTGGGCATGCACTATGCGACGGTGGGTGGCCGCACGATTGGGTGCATGCTGGGTTGGGTCGGTGGGCGGGCGAGCAGCAGGTTGTGGTCTGCTGCGCAAGGTCAAGGCTGCAAATTGTCGGCTTCAACGCGGGGGCACAGCACCATTGGTTGATCCAGGCTTTTTGGCTGCTGCAGCTGGCAGCGGTACTCGTACTTTATGGCCGCGCCTCCCTCGCTTTGCCGGCCGCTGATAGCACTCTGCGGCCGCCGCCGATGCATTACATGCCTTCTCTCTATTGCAGAGCCTGATCCACAAGGTGCAGGTCTCCCTGCAGGTGCGGTTGGCGTCACGGGGTTTAGGCCCTGGGGTGATAACGCCGTCAACTGGGGCCTGCCCCCCACCACACATGCATGTTTTTCAACCACTGACACTGTCGTCAGTGCTGTCTCCTCTGCCCGGCCCCCTAAAGGCAAGTCCTAGCTTGTCGTGCAAAGGCCCCGTTCATACCACCATCCGCCCTGGGCCCGCAAATCTCACGGAACCCTGTGCGGCTCGCCCCCCGGCTCACACGCAGCTGGAGACGGACACCCCTGAGATCGTCAACGAGTGCGTGAGGGCCGTCAGGAAGGGCGGCCGCGTCTCCGTCATCGGAGCGTATGCAGGTGCGGCTGCCGACAAGCCCGACCTACCGCGCGAGTCGGTCGTGCGTGCCAGTCGTATACATGCTTTTAGGCCGTCCCGAGGTTTCGTTTGGAAAAGCCTCTTCGCCCTCACCCGGACACAGTGCGCCCTGCTGGCCTCTGTGTTTTCCTGCTGCTGCTTGACAACACGGTTTGCGTCGCCCTGCCGTTTTACGCGCCGCTGCTGCCACCCGTCGCCACCGCAGGCTTTGTCAACGCCTTCCAGCTGGGCGCTTTCATGGAGAAGCAGCTCACGATCCGTGGCGGCCAGACGCCCGTGCAGGTCGGTGCGGCTGCATGCCGTAATTGGGCTTTTCATTGCAATCTGTTCTGCTGCGCTGGCTCGTTTGAGCATTATTGCTGTAGGATCAGCAGCAAAATGTGCAGTTAGCGGGCGATTCCGCATCATTGCAGGGCTCCTGGGGCGTCGAGACAGCAGCCCTGGATCGAAGCCCCGACAGTGCTCCAGCAACTTGGCCCCATTATCCATCTACTTGCAAGTACCCACCGCATCCCGAACAACTTGACCCCTTTTGACACACACACACACACACACACACACACACACACACAAATGCCATGCAACCCATGAGCGCAGAAGTACTGGCACACGCTGCTGGCCAAGGTCAAGTCGAAGCAGCTCGACCCCGCGATGGTCATCACGCACCTGCTGCCCCTCGAGGAGGTGCGCCCACGAGCCGGCACGCGCTGTGTGTGAATGGGATGTGGGTGCGTGCACACGTGTGTGTCAATGCACTTGCGTGCTTGCATCTGGGAGCGAGCTTGCGCGCGCATCTTGTTCTTTGTGAGTATGGTGATACTCGCAACAAAAGCTGTTAATTGTTGTTGTACCACCAGCAGGCCAGCGATAGAATTGCAATTGCACTGCAACCCAGGATCAGCCTCGCGCCGCCTTCCGGGCCGCCTTCAGAGCAGTCATCACACCAGTGACGCCATAGAAGTCGGGCAGGTCTGCAGGGGCCCGTGAACCGATCTGGTCCGATTGGAATCCCGATCTCGATCCTGACGCCCTCACAAACACCGCTGCACCGTCATCGCCCTGTCGCCGCCCGCCCGTCAGGCCGACAAGGGCTACGAGGTTTTCAACTCCAAGCGCCCCGCGGACGGCTGCGTGAAGGTCGTCCTCAAGACCAAGGCGGCCAGGGACCAGGGCCCGGTGGCGGCGGTGTGAGGGCGGCCTGGCGTCGTCAGCTGCACGCGCGGGCGAGGGGCTGCGCGCGTGGTGCGGCAGGAGTGAAGATTGAGACCCTTTTAGTCCCGCCAATCGGCGGCCGGGGTTGAAGGGAGATTTGGTGAGGGCTGCAGCGCGAGCGCTGCAGCCGGCGCAGTGATCGGGGTAGGATATATGCGCGTCGCTGTGTCACGCTGCAAGGCTGCTGATCTGATGATTGATGGCCGACACATTGGTTTTAACAGCATTTGAGCCGCTTCAGGTTGTTGTGTGTGAGCTGTCCCGCCAATTTTCTTTGGGCTGGGACACTGCACAGCACTGCACTGTGAGGAGGGTGCATCGCTGCAGGGTCAGGGCGGCTCAGGGTTGTCGTCTCAGTGTGTGTGTGTGTGCATGCACACATGTTCAACCTTGTGTGCTCTTGTACATTGTGCTTGCATTCAAGCAACCAGGTTGTAATGTGCCAGCTGGACGCTCAAGGCAATCAGTCAGTACAGTTACCATACAAAAGTCCCACCAGATGTGATTGTGCAAACCACTGGGATTCAAGGGAAAGGCTTGCAGTACAGGACCGATTCACAGCAGCGCAGCAACCAACAGCCGAGTCATCGTCAACCAACTCATCTCATTGCATGTCACACGGGTCGTTCAAAGGGTCACATGCTGAGTAGAAGCACTCTAGAGCAGCAGCGTCAACAAAACCGGCCCCCGGCCCCTGGAGGCCCCGCCTCACGCAGCGTTGCTCTCCCGCAGCGCCTGCCGCGCCCGCGCCGCGCCGCCGCCGCCGCCGCCCGCCTTGCCCCGCGC